TCAAGGCGTCTCTGTTACGCACCCAATACTCCCAGATGGACTCCCATCCCAGATCAACCAGGTCTAGGCCCGTTTGGCTTCTGATATCAGGAGAGATCGGGTGAGTTCAGGCATAATAAACTGGAAGGGACCTTGTAGGTCATCTAGTCCAACCCCCAGCTCCAACAGGAGGTCTATTCCAATGTTAGCCTTTACCTGGGATTGAGCAGCAACCTCTGATTGGGAGGGCGGTGCTCCATCTCTGGGCCACCTGAGAAGGGGCCTAGTGGGAAGCAGGTTGGGAGGGACCTGGGAGGTCATCTGGTCCAACTCCCCTGGTGGCAGGGGAGACTATACCATTATTATTGAGTTTCCTTAGCCTGGCTGCGCAATGGTAAGACTTAGATTTGGCCTTCAGAGAAGGGCCATTAGAAGAATTATCATCTGCCGCTTTACGAAGAATAATCATATGAGAGAATACCAGAGGCGGTTGGCTCGCCTAGGGTTGAGCCCACAGGAGGCTGGGAACCCTTATCAGCTGGCCCGCGCCCCCTTTTGGAATTTAATGTACCGCGGAAGGCGGTGAATACAAATATCCATTATCATCATCATCATCATCATCATCATCATCATCATCATTAATATCTATATTAAATATCTTTATTCACTTATGGATATATACGTATGAATAAGTCTTGTATACGTGATTATTGTCTCTCCTTCTATTTATTCCTTTATTTTTAACTTCAACTCTTTGAAACTGCTTGATGCTTAATCTGGATCCTGGACCAATAAGGCCTCTCCCTTTAACTGGAAAATCAACCCAAGTGTCTTTTATCCAATCAGTCAAATGAACGCCTGAGGCCGAACACACTGGGTTGGAAAGATAAGGCCTCCAGCAGCTGAACTCCCAGACAACAACCGGGAGGGGAAGAAGGTGCTGCATTGCTTCGCCCTGAGCGCGGCTGCGGATTGCCAACAGAAGTTTAGGAGCGAGACTCTGTACAGGCTGATAAGGCCTGTGTGGAGAGCTGGAGAATACTCGCAGCAGAGAGAATTGCGATGGCGCCCGACTGCGAGGCGGCGCCCAAGGAGGCGGCCACCTACTTGCTGGATGTCGAGGCTGCTCAGGGCGGAATTGGGCCCCTCCGGCGAGTTAGATGCCGAGAGGGACCACGAGGAAGGGTACGCCCCCTTCCTGAGATGATCGGCGTTCGGGTGGGGGGAAAACCAGCAGCGCTTTGGAGCGCTTAAATTCAAGCCGCTAACGAAGGCGGCGTGGAGATCGGCAGGCAGGAGATTCAAAGGAGATCGGGGGGGGGGTTAGCGCCGGAGCGCTTTTGAACCACCCGCTATCTGTCTCCCCCTGGGGGTGATGAACGTGCTCCCCTGAGTCTGAGAAGCAAACCTAATTGCGCAGAGGCTAGGGAAAAGGAAAGAGCGATCTTCCCACGATCTTGAAGGGTGAAGGAGCTGCACGAAAAAACAACAGCCTAGCCTTGACAAGGCTGGGCGGGATTCCAACGGAGGCAGCGAGCTAGCCTTCAGCACACATTGCAATTAACACAGATGCAATTAAAGCGGTTAGGGCCAGCAGGCTCTGTAGCTTGAAGGGGCGCGCTGTAGCGATCGGAAGATAAGGAAAAAGGCGCCCTACCATGGGGCGGCGCTTAAATGGCGACTGCCTGCGATGAGGACTTACAGGGCTCCTGAACAGCGGCCAAAATTCTCCCCAGGGGCAATCCGAGGGCCCCAGGGGGAGGGCAAGGAGGATAGCTATTAAGCTCTCATCAGCTAGCCATACCCTTGGGATTTGAACCCAGGCTATTTACATATTAGGCAGATGTATTAACCTCTAAGCCATGGGCTCTCCTTAGGCAATAAGGAGGAGGGGGGTGGCTAGAAGGTTAGCTAGCCTTCCCCTAGGCGCCCCCTGAGACTAGGAGACTTCCCAGGAGAATGGGAGTCGAAAAATTAAGTTAAATTTAAGTATTACCTATAGCTCTATTTCAAGCTATAGGTCTGATCAGTTAGCCCTGCCCATCTGGGATATGAACCCAGGTTACATGCTTATTAGGTGGATGCTTAACCTCTAAGCCATAGAATATCCTCCTGCACAGGGCTAAGAAAAGAATAAAACAATACAACCTGATAAGAAGAAAGTTTTCTTGAGACGGCCAAGAGAAAACTGAAAACACTGCCTACTCTGCACGAGGCTGAGCAAAAAACTGGGGAACGCCGGCAACGGAGCCACGTGGTGGAGGGCGGAGCGTTCCTCAGTAATTAAGCTCAGCCTACAACGACGCAGACTGAAGCACCTCCCACTCTCTGGATGATCCGAGCAGCTCTAAGGAGAACTACTTTTTTCTCAATAATTTTTCTTGCTGGTAAAAGAATATAATCTGAATATCTATATATATAAAAGTGAAATATCACTCGCACATCATCATAAAATCTCCAGAACTATAAAGCCTATAAACTTGGAATTTGGTACATATGTTCCTCTTGGCTTCTAGGTGCTCACTAAGAAAGGATTTTTCAGTTTCAGAGCAGCAACCAGCTTTAGTACAAAACAGTTGAGCTAAGCCACGCCCAGGCTCCTTGCTGTCTCCTTTTTGCTCACAGAGCAAATACTGTTTTCAGTTTCCAGTCAGTCCTCAACTCTCACACACACTGACAAGACACTAGCCAGATGAATACTGATGGATGCTGATAGGCAGGGGCAGAATCCCCCCCCCTTATTTTCCTCCCCCAAATCTAAGCACAACCACTTAGTTTTGTAGGGAAGCATGGGTACCAAGCTAGTTGTATAATATAACAACTTCAAGATAATAATATGCATGTTCTGAAATTTAAATAGAGTTTGGATAATTGAATCCAAAAGTATTTTTTCTTATAGGGTCCATTACTTTCAAAGTGGTAATCAATTCTTCATGCTTCGGACCAACTACAATAGAGTACAGTTAGTCCTCAACATGTAACCATTTGTTAGTGCCCATTTGAAGTTACAACAGTTTGTTTTTTTATATTTACAACAGTTAACAGCATCTCCATAGTCACACGATCAAAATTTGGACGCTTGGCAACTGGCATGTGTTTATGACAGTTGTAGTGTTCTGGGGTCATGTTGCAACCTTCTGGCAAGGAAATTCAATGTGGAACCCAGATTCACTTAACAATCATGTTACTAACTTTACGACTGGAGTGATTCACTTAACAATTATGGCAAGAAAGGTCATAAACTCACTAAACAACTGTATTAGCAGTGGAAATGTTGGGCTCAATTGTGATTATAAGTCAAGGACTACTTGTAAAGGTGCCACTGAAACACCAGGCACTACCTGAAAGAAGATCCTCCTAGAATGATCTTCATAAGAAGTCACATCTTGTTTGCAAATGAAAGCTTCTCTTGTTGAGGTGCCTCCCATTTTTATTCCTTTCATTTAATGCAAGGTTGGATCCACATAGCCTGCTGTATTATAATAGTTTGTACTGGTAGCACCGTCTTACCATCTCTGGGATTAGTGTCCTTGACAATTATAATACTACTTCCTGCTTTGCTATTCCTTTTCTATTTATTTAAAAGGAACTCTAAGACTGATAATTTTTTAAAGAAAATGTATCACAGCGGGAAGCTTCTATCTAGTTTGGTTCACAAATCATATTAAATGTATGTATTTATTTACTAAATTTATATGCCACCCAACTTGCCTAGAGCAACTTTATTTTATTAAGACATATGGTCATTATTTCTTTTTGCTTATTGTGCTGTTTGACTCCAGCTATTATGGTTTGTAAACATACATGTAGTGAGTGAAGCTAACCAATTATTTATTCCAGAAATCATAATTAAACATTATAGCACAGCACAGTGTTTGAACTGGGTCACCTTTTCTCATATTGGTATTCCGTTACACCATAAAGGCACTCTTGCTGCTCTAAAGAAGGACTTTGGCCAAATACTCAGTGCTTAGGTTCTACACTATTTTTGCTCTAATACTGCTTTTCTATAATCCTATGAGATTTACAGTTGGGAATAAGAAAAAAGTACATAGACACCAGCAAATATATGCTTAAATAACCTCAGACGTTATTATTTTGGTTTCTCTCTCTGTTATGAACTTCCTGGGTCCCATGGATTCCTGGATGTCAAAAAATTCAAAATCTCCCATAGCACAAAAGAAGCAAAACTTAAGTCCTGAATGAAAAACAAGGAGGCAGCTTCTAATTCTACTATGCAAGTTAAAAAGACTAATAATGTTGTTATGATGCTCAAGAATAATTGTTGGCACAGCTTATGTTGTTCTTTGGTTTCTTTGCTCTAGTTTCATTAAGGGATTGATCATAGAATGAAAAAAAGGAATTAATAACTGCTTTATTTTAAAAATCGCTTGTCTGTGGCAAGATTGCTTTCCCTCAACTAAATATAGATTTGCACTGTTGGCATTCAGAGATTTTTCATTGCTAATCCTTGGATTACATGAATTGTATTTAAACTAGCTACCTAGAAAGCTGAGCATAAGGCAGAAGCAATAAGATTTACCGTACTGAGCCTCAGAATCAAATGTGCCTCTTTCTCAAGAGGGAGGCAAACCTGTTCCCCCAGTTTGCTTGAGCACTGGTTGGAAATGGAATTTATGAGATAAGGTGACACTTATCCTTTGGCCAGTGAGGATGGGGCCTGTAGGATCTTGTTTTCCAGACCTGCTCTACAGTTCAAGAATATTTCCTTTGGGAAATTACTTCTGTTGGTGCTGCTATTGAAATTGTGCATTAGGATATGAATCTGTGTGCTGTTACAAAAGGTATCCCTGTCTTTTTGGAAAGCATGACACTTGAAACATAGTGCTTCCTGCAGAATTTACTACAACATCTGCTGTTTTCTAGAAAAAAATTAGCACAAAATAGAAACTGCATCACCCCCTAGTAGGGCGCTAGTATTATCCCTTTAACTTCCAGCCCTCTTGGTTCTGCAAGTATTCTGACTTTTTCTGTACCTTAATCCACTAAGCACTCTATTTACAAATACATATTAAGGGCTAGGTAAAAAATTTGGTAAGCTGACTAATGCTGTTGATGGCTATAGGCTTTGCTAGGGTTTGGCAAGACAGGTAAATTATGTTCTCAGAGTTCTTTCATGATTTTTGTACAGAAAAGCAAACTTGGGAAGTATAGAAAAGAATACTTTGCTTTTCTATCCTGAGAGAGACAGGTTTCCATTCACCTTAAAAGAAGCTTTATTTTAATCATACCATAGCTTTAGGAATTAGCTTGTGTTTATTGCTGACTCCACCCTGCCATGCCTGTTGCAAGAATCTGAAGAAGCAATTGTGTTTTTAGAAGCAGAATGACGAGAAATTCCCCAGAGGCAAACGGAGAGTGTGAGCTCTAAGTACACCAATAGAGACTCGCGCACAGACACACACAAGGGTTGGGAACTCCCAAAGATAGAGAACGAGAAAAAGAGAAAGAGTGGAAGTGTAAACAAGAGAGCCAAACAAAGTGGGAGGTGGAGGAAGAGAGACCACCTTTAACCGTTTCATTTCTACCTTCCCTTCCACATTTTTGGTAATCACTTTTTAGTCTGGTCTCTCATTCTGGGATCGACTCAATCAGGTTCTGGGCTGGAATTGCCCAAACTGACATGATGTACCTCTGGGTGAGTAGAGATTTGAACAGGACAACCCGCTTTGAACAGAGAAGGTGTGGAAAGTTGAAGCTTCTCTCTAAAAGTATGCAGCTGCTTCTTTTGAACTGTATTCTTTTCAGGATTTCCAATGTACTAGAAATTTGCCCTTGTGTAAATATATCAAAGTATGCAATTGAATATTAACTCTTGTTACTGAATTTTTTTTAAAAAAAATTGTTTCCTACTGTGAGAACAGAGAGAGAAGAGAGTGCTGTAGTCAGTTTAGACGCTGTCGTTTCCTGATTGCCTGTAGGTAGGAAAAAGAATTCTCTTTTTCTCAAAGGTGTCAGGTAATAAACTCATTATTCTGTGATGGCTATTGTGATATGACTGGAGGACACAACTGCAGGAAGGGGAAGGAAATAATCAAAGTGGTGTAATTGTGTATATGAAGGCATCAGCCTAATACTTCGCTAAGATTGTCAGAAATGGGTCATGCAAGGGGGTAAGCTTTCTTCAGTGGCAAATACCGAGGTTGAGTTACAGTTCCTCAAATTGTGGAAAAACTGGAAAGCTTTTGATGTGAGATTGTTTGTTTTTGTTACTAACTGCTACTTTATGTTAAAACCAAGGTAATCTACAAGCTTGGAAATATTCTAATGTTTATATCTGTGTTGTGGAGAAGTTTACCTACTAATTTCTAATTTCTTCAGAAATCAAACACTGCCTACTTTATCAAACATGATTATAGCTATGAATCATAGTATTTTTAAAGTTTTAACTAAAAAAAGTAAAAAATATAAGTTGAAATACCTTATATTTTACAATAGTATTTGGGATATTTTAAATACATTATGAGTAAATATGCAGAAACATAAATACCTAATCATCTAATTATGTTCATTAATGCATTTTTTCTAAACAAATGAGGTAGATATATTTTTTTCATGGAAGTGATATGTGAAAGATATGCATGCTCTGCAGACACCCTTTAGTTTTAGTTTTAAAAAAACTATTAAAGCCCATCCTTCTTTCTCTCAAAATGTATATGGGCATTTTACTTATAGTGATCTGTAAAATAGTATATGCATTAATTGTGCAGTCTAAATTATACAATAACAGATAGTATTTTTTCATGTGGTTTTCACTACATTTCATGATGTCTTTCTCAATCTTTTTTATTACTTTACTGTTATTTCCAAATTTGCTTGAGAATTGTTTAGGAAATTTATTCTCTTTGACTAGCATGATAATTTTATTGTACTAAAATCTGGTTTTACAATTCTCCTTAATTGTATTTATCTAACTGTCTGTCTGTCTGTCTATCTTTTCTTTACTTTTTTCTTTTCTTTTTTCTTTCTTTCTTTTTATATCCCACCTTTATTGCTTTTATAAATAACTCATGGCAGCAAACATATCCAACACACCTCCTTCCTCCTATTTTCCCAACAACGGCATCCCTTGGGGAATGGATTGGGCTGAGAGAGAGTGATTGGCCCAAGGTCACCCATCTGGTTTTCATAGCTAAAGTGGGATTAGACTTCACAGTCTCCCAGTTTAATTTTAATTTCTTAAAACTTATACCTAAAGAAGAAGAAACAGTTTCAGCAACATTGGAATTTGATTTGCTTTTTGTGTTTTCATCTATTGTGATTGTACCAGTTTGTAGCCACTGTTTCATATCTGGAAATATATCCTCATTGCATAAATATTCACTGAACCTAATGAAAACAACTCTAATTCACAAATACTGCAGGGTGTCTCCAGGGTTTGTATGATATATTGTATTTAATATTGGGAAGTTGAAAAATTATATAGGAAAATCACAATTTGTGATGTCACTTAGAATGATTCCCTTGCTTAGGGATGTTGATGGAATGGATTTTTTTTTCATTATGAATGCCTGCTGAAGCCCTTTAAGCATCCATTTTCCTCTGTCTGTTTGCCTTTGCAAATGTGGTTCTCATGTATGTTTTCTCTGGTGGAAATCCACTGAATTGCAGCTGAGTTTCTTTCGTCATTCACATACAGCTCAATGGGATTTATTCCTAGGTAGGTGTGCACACTGCACATGATGTCACCTTAATGATTAAATAGAGTCGCACATACATACACTCAGATATGGTTTGCAAGATGGAAAATGAAGAGGGAGAGAGACTCACCTTGATTGCTCTTGTATTGCTTTGTTAGAAACTCTTTGCGGTTAACAATTAAAGTTTTTAAAAAAATCTGCTTTTAACTCCCTCAGCTGTCCCTTAGAAAATACCTTGGAAAATATTTGTCAGAGTTTGGGGGAGGATAGGAAATTGGGTTAAATTTTCTCCAGGCAAAATGCCTGGTTAAATAAAAGGAAGATTTGCAGAAAGATAATATGGAAGCTACCTGGAATAGAAAAGATGCTACATAGTACAATGGAGTTTGTGGAGTTTCACAAATATTAAATATAAAAAAGAATGATCAAATGAAAGAGGATGTAAATCAGCAAAATGCATTGAATGATTACTGGAAAAATGAGACTAGGGAGAAAATAATTGCGGAAGGAGTTTATTGTTTCAATCCTACAAACATAATCTTGTCAGACTGAACTCTCTACTGTCTGAATCGATAATGCACTCTATTATAAATGGTCTGCCTTCACCCTCTTGTTCTCAACCCATAATATCTGGACTGAGTTGCCTCTTAACACCTCTGGAATGCATCCCTTCCCTCTGGGAGTCCACCTCCTTACTACAGTCTATCACATTTTTCTTGATTTTAGCAGGAAAACAAATCTGGTACCCTTCCAAGTTATAAGGCATTCAGTCTTAATCTCCATGTTCTTTGATTGGACAGCAAACAAACAAGAAAATAAGTGACTGCGCTTAAATTCATCTGACAATTTTTTTTGCTCTTTGTGTTTTCTTCTTCAGTAAATTACAAATAATGGAAAATAAAAATGTGAAATACATGTGAATTAACTGAGGGAATTCTCAAGGAAGTATTTAAATGATTTGTACTGAATTCCTGATGGTATATTGAATTTAAATGAATGCTATAAAACTTGGACAGTGAGAAAAGAGTGAACATATATCAGATTTTTAAAATTTTCAGTAAATTATTGGGGCCTACATGAAAGAGAAAGGAAATAGATCATGTGTTCTCTGATTTAGAGAAAGCATGTGATAAAGTGAATTGAATTCACATTTGAATTATGGAACATTTTGAATGATTTTTTTCTTTTTCTTTTCTATTTTTCTCTTGGTTTTTAAAGTAAGATTTTTATAGGCAAGTGTATATATGGGGAGGTAAAATAAAGATGTATTGCTTGACAACATGAATGTGTATGTACTTTTCTGCAGACAATGCAAGAACTAGAGTTATTTGCAGTGAATGTTAATTTGTATAACATAGCAAGAAACATTGAAATGAAAATGTGTTTTAAGACAGGATAGTTGTGTTTGCAGGGAAAATAAAGCAATGTAAATGATAAAAAATTAGGACTAAATACACTGCTCAAAAAAAATAAAGGGAACACAAAAATAAGACATCCTAGATCTGAATGAATGAAATATTAAATACTTGGTTCATCACATAGTTGAATGTACTGACAACAAAATCACACAAAAATTATCAATGGAAATCAAATTTAGCAACCCATGGAGGTCTGGATTTGGAGTTACACTCAAAATTAAAGTGGAAAAAAACACTACAGGCTGATCCAACTTTGATGTAATGTCCTTAAAACAAGTCAAAATGAGGCTCAGTAGTGTGTGTGGCCTCCATGTGCCTGTATGACCTCCCTACAATGCCTGGGCATGCTCCTGATGAGGTGGCGGATGGTCTCCTGCAGGATCTCCTCCCACACCTGGACTAAAGCATCCCCCAACTCCTGGACAATCTGTGGTGCCATGTGGCGTTGGTGGATAGAGCGAGACATGATGTCCCAGATGTGCTCAATCGGATTCAGATCTGGGGAATGGGCGGACCACTCCATAACATCAATGCCTTCGTCTTGCAGGAACTGCTGACACACTCCAGCCACATGAAGTCTAGCATTGTTGTGCATTAGGAGGAAGCCAGGGCCAACCGCACCAGCATATGGTCTCACAAGGAGTCTGGGGATCTCATCTCGGTACTAATGGCAGTCAGGCTACCTCTGGAGGGCTGTGCAGCCCCCTAAAGAAATGCCACCCCACACCATTACTGACTCACTGCCAAACCGGTCATGCTGGAGGATGTTGCAGGCAGCAGAACGTTCTCCACGGCATCTCCAGATCCTGTCACATCTGTCACATGTGCTCAGTGTGAACCTGCTTTCATCTGTGAAGAGCACAGGGTGCCAGTGGAGAATCTGCCAATCTTGGTGTTCTCTGGCAAATGCCAAACGTCCTGCACGGTGTTGGGCTGTAAGTACAACCCCCACCTGTGAATGTCGGGCCCTCATACCACCCTCATGGAGTCTGTTTCTGACCGTTTGAGCAGCCACATGCACATTTGTGGCCCATTGGAGGTCATTTTGCAGGGCACTGGCAGTGCTCCTCCTGTCCCTCCTTGCACAAAGGTGGAGGTAGCGGTCCTGATGCTGGGTTGTTGCCCTCCTATGGCCTCCTCCACGTCTCCTGATGTACTGGCCTGTCTCCTGGTAGCGTGTCCATGCTCTGGACACTACGCTGACAGACACAGCAAACCTTCTTGCCACAGCTTGCATTGATGTGCCATCCTGGATGAGCTGCACTATCTGAGCCACTTGTGTGGGTTGTAGACTCATCTCATGCTACCACTAGAGTGAAAGCACCGCCAGCATTCAAAAGTGACCCAACCATCAGCCAGAAAGCATAGGAACTGAGAAGTGGTCTGTGGCCACCACCTGCAGAACCACTCCTTTATTGGAGATGTCTTGCTAACTGCCTATGCTTTCCATTTGTTGTCTATGCCATTTGCACAACAGTATGTGAAATTGATTGTCAATCAGTGTTGCTACCTAAGTGGACAGTTTGATTTCACAGAAGTGTGACTGACTTGGAGTTACATTGTGTTGTTTAAGTGTTCCC